ACTCAAGAGGGGGTTTGCCTACTCCCCCCCACAAAATAACACTTCATGTGAGTTCTAAACAAAAAGAAATTTACAAAATGTGTTATTTTACTACTACTACTTTTTTTTTTTTGGTACCAGGGATCGAACTCGGGACCTTGTGCTTGTGAGGCAGGCGCTGGAACCACTGAGCTAAATCCCCGGCCCTCTACTACTACTTTTTAACATGTATCAGGCACTTGAGAATTATCTCAAAAGACCAGATGGTTCAATAAAGTACTTAGGATTGTCAGTTATATACATACTAGTGAGGACTAAAATGCACACACAAAACAATGGTTACAATACAAACAACCTCTTCTATATGTAACCAGTCTGGTACTGGACATTCTTCTGTCTTCTCTGAGTCCTCTCACAGAACAAATGCAGCCAAGAATCACTCCTAGTGTCGCTTCTCCAGGTGGTCTACCCATCTTCATTTCAAAGTCACTTTCAGAAAACGTTTCTTTTCTGTCAGTTTTTAAAAAATAAATAGGCGTTTCCAAGACGTGTCGTTTTTCTAACTACTTTATCACACGCCAGCAACTTCTTTACATCTGTATTGTCCACATGCAGCAAGTATTCTTTTAAAAGGTTGGGGGAATATTGAGAGCAGCTTTTTCATATTATATACACAGGCCTCCTGAAAACGGCCAGTAAATCTTCCCGAAAGGGGGTGGGCATTTCCAATCAGCCAAATGTGAAATGTTACTTTAAGTTTCTCTCTTTGGCAACTGCCCATGGCCCACCAGCCTTTCCACCTGTCCTCAGCCTGAGCTCCATCACCTTCCAGGGCGGGTGAGGGCTTTATTTGTCCTTGTGGCAAGGAGGTGCAGTCTCCTCCACAACTGGAACACAGCAGTCACCTCAGGACCTGGATCTGCGCAGTTCTATGACCAGAAGTGGCTGAGCTTTCGGACCCACCTTCTCTGGACCTTGATGTAACTACATTCTGCTGCGGCCCAGAGGCTGCCATTCTTCTCACCATGCCTTGTTGCAGCCACTGCAAGGCGCCATGTCCTCAACTGCTGGAGGGGCCTTTGCCTAGGCCAGCAAGGCTGGACCGGGAGACCCTTTGGTCTGAGGGGTTCTGGCTCTGAGGCCACCGCCACCATCAGGTCATTGAAGTGGAGTCGGGGAGCGGTTTGCCCATTCTTCAAAGCCTGGGCCCAGCCAGTGGGCAATCACAGCAAGGGATGGAAGAGGCTGCAGGGCAGAGGTGCAGCTCATCCTCGGGCCCCCGGGTCACCCACCACCATCGGCAGGAGGACCTGGAGGACCCTGGGGAAGCAGGCTGCGCTGTTTCTCACTGCACTCTGCTGGAACTGCAGCCCTTTTGTACTCTTCCACACCCAACTCTGCAGGCAGCCACTGTGAGCCTACCTGGTAAATCCTTATATATTGATTTATCTTAAATGAAATCTGCTTTTCTAGTGAGCACTGACTGATACACTGGCCATTAAAGAAGTGCAAATTAAAACAACACTACAAACAACAACAACAACAACACTACAATTTCATCTCACAACAGAAAGAATGACAATCATCAAGAAATCAAATAACAAATGGTGGTGTGGCTGCGGTGAGAAAGGAATCCTTGTATATTGTTGGTGGGAATGGAAACTAGTACAACTATTATGGAAACAGTATGGCGATTTCTCAAAAAACTAAAATTAGAAACTCCATTTGACCCAGCTATTCCCTTTCTAGGTATCTTCCCAAAAGAGCTAAATACGTCATGTTATAGCAATACATGCATACCAAGGTGTCTATCAGTACAAAATAGCTAAATTCTGGAAGCAGCCTGTTTCTACATCATCAGATAAATGAAGAAAGAAAATGTGGTATCTATATATAATAGAATACTACTTGGCTATAAAGAAGCATATATTTGAGACATTTGTAGGAAGATGGATACATTTGGAAAACATCATGTTAAGTGAAATAAATTAGCACACAAACTTAAATATTGTATTGGATCTCTCATTTGAGTAAGGAGAATTATAAATAAAGAACAAAATAAAGAATTGATAAAAGAAATGGAGATAGATCTTTAGCAAATAGGGGTTAAAGGAACTGGGGCAAGGGGAGGGAGAAACAAAAAAGAAGGGGTAGTAAAAAGATTTAAGATGTGTCTTATGTATGCACCAAATTCTGACAATGCATGTAAACATTATATATTAGAAAAATAAACTAAAAAATAATAATAATAACAAATACGGGAAAGGGGATCTAGAGACAGATGAAGGAAAGTGGGTGGGGAGGGGAAAGGGAACAAAAAAGAATCAAGATGTGCTATAAATATACCTAGTCCTTAAGATGAATATAAACTTCATGCATTGCAAACATGTACTAATAAAACAGAATTTTAAAAAAGATGTGACATGTATATGTACCAATTCCCCAAATAAATATAATCATCAAGTATTACACACATATACTAATAAATATGCTTTAATGCTTTAGGAAAATAAAAGAACCATTGCCCTACCACAGAGATTCTCACTCTATTCTCTGCCACCACTGGGAGCACGTGGGACCTTGTTGGACAAGCACACTCTAGGGCAGTGGTGGCAAACTATAGCATGTATGCCATAGAGAGCTGTTTGTATCATTGAAAACTCTAACAGGTTTGCTATCATTGCTGAAGGGGATTTTTTTAAAAGTTCAAATTCTTTGGATTTTCTTTGGGTATTTAGCATCTAGAATAACCCATAGCACATAGTAGTTGCTCTATAAACGTCTGAAAATGTCTCAAAACCAAGATTATTCAGCACTGTACTTCTTTCTCTAGATTCTCTTTCCTTCTCAAGTTTCAGATATAAACTACGCAAGGTCACCTGAAAATGCTGTGTTCAGGTTTTTCATACTTTTCTCTAGACCAGCCTCTGCCTTGAACTCCCTGCCCTGTATTCCAGCCCATCTCCAGTGTCTGGCTCAAGAGCCAGTCCTCCCAGAAATCTCTGCTGGCTGAGCTGGGGATTCTGCAACCTTTAGGCACACTGTTTATACATCTCATCCTGATTCCTCTCGGCTTTAAGGAAGACAGAAGCTAAAAAGACAGACTGCAGACAGGTTCTTTCTGCCAGCAGGACTACTACTGCACAAGACTGAATGCCTACAAGGAGCAAGATGATTCAGGTCACAGAATCTCCAAAAGGCTGAGGAACTGGAGGCCCTGGGACATTCTGAAGGTGGAGATGCAGGGTAGAGCTGAGAATAGGAAGGACAGCAAAGGTCTTCTTAAAGGAAGTCAGATCCCAAGAATCTCTCCCCTTGGCTCCTGGGCTTGGTGCCCAAGATAGTGCAGAAGAAGTGGAAACTGTGAGGAGGAGCCTAGGGATAGGTCCTTGGGTTATTAGTGATGCGGCCTCCTCTCTTTCTGCTTCCTGGCCACGGGGTGAGGAGTTTAGCTCAGCCACATGCTGTGCCATGAAACGCTGCCTTGCCACAGCCCAACAGATCATGGGCTGGAAACTCTGAAGCTGAGCAAAAAAACCCCAACCCTATTTTAATTTTTAATAGTGGTACTGGAGATTGAATCCAGGGCCTTAAGCCTGATGGGCAAGTGCACTAGCACTGAACTACATCCTCAAACCACCAACACCCCCTTTATTTGGATACAGGGTCTCAATACATGACCCAGGATGAATTCAAACTTCCAATCCTCCTGCCTTGGCCAAGTAGCTGGTATTATGGATGTGCGCTACTGCACATGGCCCTGATTTTTTTCTTTTTTACAAATTATCTCAGATATTTGGTAGTAGTGACAGAAAGCTAACACACTAACCATATCCAGCCAGTACAACAGCAAAAATACATCCAACGGCAAACAAGTTTACACTGCTTGGAGCAGTCAATCCCAAGACTCTGCAGCTCAGGCACAGCTCAGGGTGCAGGTGGGGAACCAGTCTGACAGGCAGGAACGCTGACTGAAACTATGCACCACAGAGAAAAAGAAACAGTCAAGTCTCCTGGCCCATCTCCACATTCCCAGACAGAAGAGAGTCATTCACTTTCCACCATGAGTCAGGAGCTCTGGAGGAGGCTCTAGTGTTCCCACTCATCTAGGTGAGGTCCCCCAGCCTTTCCTCCCAGGTCACCCTCAGAACAGTCAACTTGCCCTCCAGGGACTCCAAGGAGCCAAGTCCCAAGGGCTCCAGGGCCCCCGGGCAGCTACAAATGGAAGGTGATCTAGGGTCAGACCTGCTCTGGCCACGGCTACAGCCCAATTGCTGCCTGATTCAGGAACACCAGTGAGAAGACTCACAACCTGAGAAGGGTGATGCTTGCTTCCTGCTCATGCTGCAAATACAAAGCTCAGTAAGCGTTCCAGTGACAGTAGTTTCAGATCACAAGCTCCAAGGCAAGAATTTGTCTTCCCCAGGCTCACCCTGTTAAAGCTCCAATTTGAAAGGAACCCAGGCAAAACTCTCCCTGGCACTCGGCCCTGTGCACTGCATTGAAGGGGGTGAGAGCGATCAAGACAAGGCACTGATCTGACAAAGTTGTTCCTGTGTATTTCTTAAGTGCTAAGGGAAGGGAAGAGAAGGTGACCTTCGCTCTGCCCCATGTGTGGGCCATGAGAGGAGATAGAGCAGCCAGCAGCTGATCCAAATGCTGGCTTCCCTGACTGGTAACTGATGTCATCTGCATCTATCACAAGACTGTGAGAGCAGAAGCCCAGCCCTCAGTGGACATCCTCCTGCTTCCTGGGCCACTGGGGGCTGGGAGGGGTGGTCTCTCTCGAGGTTTGGGGTAATAGGGGAAGAACTGCTAGTTGGTATAAATTCATGTGCTCAGTGAGTAAAAGAGTAGGAAAGGAAGAAAGGAAAAAAAATCAGCTCCCCAGGCCTATGGGTGAAGACACTGGCTGAGCATTTGAACAGATTCATGTCATTTAATAGGCACCATCCTAGGGCAGGTTTGTCTAACCTCTTTCCCTTCCTTCCCCACCTCATTCTCCATCTAGTCCCAGCCCTTCAAGTACTAGAGGAACCAGGAGTTGGTCCACCAGGAGCAGTCTGAGGGAGAGACAGAGACAAACACAGAGACAGACTAACAATAGAATATCAACAAGTGTATCAAGGGAGCATTGGTGGTGTAGGGGGTGGGGGTGAGTGGGGCACAAGTCAGGAAAATACAGTGTCAGAGCTGGGCTACGGGGAACCTACACAAACGAATACAGTCTTGTCTTTGGGGGACTGTGAAGACTGAGGGAAAAGGGAATGACAGCCATGTAGGAGATTGTCGGGCCTCTATACTCAGAACTGTAGGCACGGGGAAGATGGGAAAATGGGAAAATTAGGCACAGTGGTACATGTAATCCAGAAGGCCGGAGGCTAAGCCAGGACGACCACAAGTTCAAGGCCAGCCCAGTCAACTTATCAAGACGAGGTCTCAAATAAAAACAAAACAGCCTGGGGATGTTGCTCAGGGCAAAGGCCCGAGGTTTAATCCACAGCACCATAAAAAATAAGAAATGCAAAAGGAAAATGGAGGGAGGCACCCCGCCTGGGAAAGACAATCACATAGGGCCAAGGCCCCTATCCAGTGCAGGCACCTCTACGCTAGGGGTGCTCGGGGCTCCACCCTATCAGCCAGCCCTCGGGGTATCAGGCAGGCAGGGCGAGCAGATGGGGGGACTCAGTCTCTAGGATGCTGCTAGCAACGAGTCTCTGGAGCCCAAACAAGGCCACAGGTGACATTCCGAGGGAGCCTCAAGACTCCCCGGTTCTTGGGGAAAGGAAAAAAGAGCAGAGCCACGCGGTGAGCCACACGCTAGAATGAGCGTCCACGTCCAGGCAGAGTACGGGGTTGGGCACGCTAGGCCGGGTCACCCTGACAGGAGCGGAGCTGGCCCTGCACGCTCCCACCTTCTCGGAGAGCGCCAGTCTGCCCCTCTCCTGGACCGGACCTCGCCCGGTTCCGTGCATTACGAAGGGAAGCGCCTTCCCGGGCGGTGCTGGAAGGGGCCTCTGCCCAGCCCTTCCCCTCTGACCCACACTTCCTCACTGCGCACGCCTCGGAGAAAAGGGTACGGATTTCCTGGCCTGAAAGGCACGCGGCCTCTGTAAACTGTGCCCCACACGGTGGCCAAGCCCGTGTGGAAGGCCACCGCACAGCGACAGCCCCTGTGGCCGGGAGCCCTGTTTCCCGGCGCTGCCCCTTGATGAGGCCTCGGGTAGAGCCCGAACTCCTCACAGAAGAC